AAGGCCATTTTCAATAGATCGGAAACAATCGAGCCGCTTTACCCCGAACGCGGAAGCTGAGGTGCAAAGAGCCCATTGGTGAGAACAACAACAGCATTAGCATCATGACTGGTGATAATGATCCTGAGATTTTTCAGGAGTCCAGCTGTTGTTGATATGTTTTAGATAATCAGATCTACTGTCGTCATTTAGAGCCGCCATCTTTAATCACTTCTGTTAATTAACCTCCTCCCTTCTCTCCTCTGCTCAGCTGGTATTCCAAACTTGGTCATGTTCTTCTTTCTGCAGCCAAACACTCCCTAGCTTTAAACAACATTCACACACACACACACACTCTCTCTCTCTGGCTCTCTCTCTCTTCCACACACACTCGGCTCTGTGCTCTTTCCGTTCCAGCTCGGCTCTCAGACGGCCGTCATCATGGCTCGCTGCTGGAGTTACTTAAGAGGACTCTCCATCTGCGTCACCGTGCTGCTGCTGGTAAGCTAAATGCTAACGGCTAACGACTCCATCTGAAGTTTCCATCTGTAACGTCAGATTAACCAAACACGAAAATCTAAATGTTAAATTTGGTGAATATCTAATTATCTTCCTAAAACGCTTTCCATCATCAGAGTTGACATTACATTGTTTTTCTTTTAGCTGATACTGGCGTTAAAAACGTCATCAATTATTACATCATCAATATATTTTACTTACTTTTTTGTATGGATGTTTTTAATTCAGATTTTCATGTTTATTTTCATCTATATTTTTTATATGAGAAAATGAAACAACATAATTAATCAGCTTTCAACAATTTATTTTATTTAACAATAATATTGAGCAACATTTTTTTATTACAATTTTTATTGTATTTTATTTTTATTACAATAAACAATGTAGAAGTGCAAAACTGAAAAATTTAAGAAAAATAACGTCGGGCTATTGAGACTCTGCTTTATATACATTTCCTTTCAGAATTAATTTAAATATTTAATATTTTTTCTAGTTACAAACTCAAAGATTAATATTTTTTGGCAAAAAAATGGTTGATAATTCAAATGTTTACAGAAGGTTTTGACTATTTTTCATTTTAACATAACTAAAGCTCAGTCAGATTGGATGGAGGACATCTTGAAACTTGAACTTGGCTCTAGACTTTGACTAGACCATCATCCACCCCAACATCCAACAGGTTTTCTTCCAGGATTTTCCTGAATTTATCTTCATCCAACTTCTCCGTCCCTCCTAAAGGATTAAATCCCACAGCATGATAGTGCTAACACCATGTTTTACCATGAAGAGGACGTGTGTAAGCTGATATAAACCAGTACATGCATGGGTTGGTAGAAAAGGTTTCTTTCAACAATCAGTCATATTTACTGTAAATGTATTACAGTTGAGCTGATATTAAATTTCACACAGGTTGATTCGATTCTCTAATTAAGTGACTTGATTGCAGTTGAGATGTTTTTAATTAGATTATATCTCTTTCCTAAATAGGTTGTTTAAGTCATGAAAAGCTTTTCACTAGATTGTCAAACAGATTGAGGTTGTAGATATTGTCAAATATGTTTGTAACAATAAACTATTTAAGTTGTTCTAAATAAATGACTTTAAGAGAAAATTCAGATGTAATGAATGTCAGGAGGTGGATCAGTAAGGAAACAGGAAAATCACCAGTTTTGCAGATGATGCTGTGTTTTCTTTAAACGAGTTTTCTGATTTTTCCTACAGAAATTAAAACTCCTTTAAGTGACGCAGTAAAACCTTCATGTTACTTATATTATTTCTTATTTTTACCTGACATTTGTGATGTCATCTAATCAGCTAAGCTCCAGAGGATCCAAACAAAGTTTACCGGCTTCGTGTTGGTTGGAGTAGAAATTTTGAAAATCTGTTTGTGAAATAAAAACTCATCCATGTTTGCAGCTGTGTTTATTCTGACACATCTAATATATTTTTACTGTTATGTTGGACAGTACCGGTATGCCTGAGCATGTTTGTGTAATTAGCGGTTAGTCTTTCCTCATTTCCTCTTCTTGTCGTCTTCCTGCTGACCGTTGCCTCATTTCTTTCATTTTCCAGAAAATTCTCACCTTTTTGTTTCCACCTCGCATATTTTACGACATTTCTTCACTTTTATCTCGGCCCGTTTCCAAAGCTCGCCTGCTGGCTGCTTGTCCACCTTCCTTACTGCAGCCCTGTGTGATTACATTGGCTTCTGTGGCTATTTTTATTTTAATTTCTACCGTTTGGAGTCACTTTTTCCTGCTTCCTGTTCCTGTTGCTGAGCTGCTTATCGGCCGATTGCAGTGATTCTGTTGAATGTTCCTTTTGACCGTAAAGCTCATGAGACTTTCACTCCCAGGCTTAGGATTTTACTGTTGAGGCTCATTTTCTGATTAGGTTCAGATTAACCGCCTGGTTTCTTTTTTCATGTTTTAATTTGGTTTCTAACTGGATTTGAAGAGCTGTTGGTCACATTGTCTTTACCTCTATTGTCTCTCTGCGGTTGCATACCTTTACATCTATTTTAAGTTTGTTGCCAAAGCAGTGAGGAATCTGCAGTCGTCCACATTTAAGACCAAATGTAGCTGAAACCAGAGCTGACTTTTTCATATTAAACCTTTTTAATGTTGGTTTAGATTATTTCCATTTGCTGAATAGATTTTATACATTGTTCTCAATGTTTTATTTTTCCTTTGAAAGCTTTTCACAATCGTTTGCTGGATTTGTGTTTCCAGGCGTTGGCCAAAGTAATTACTTTTTATTTCCTTACTCTGTTTTGTGACCAACTTCATGGTCTTCTGGGAGTTATTGTCCATTTCTGAACCCAAGCTTTGACTTCCTGGTTGACGTTTTTAAATGTTGCTTCAACTTTCCAAAATTAAGGTCTGTTTAATAATGTCTGTTTGTGAAGTGCACCAATCCTCCTGTTCAGTCCCCTAAAGTCGTATTTGTGTAAAAATAGCACCACAACAAACATATTTTTACTCAAGTAAAAGTAAAAAGTAGCCAACAAATTACTCTAGTAAGAATAAAAATTACTCAAGTACTGAGTAGCTGATCAAAACATAAAATAGTTAAATTAATTACATCAACAAACGGACCAAAGTATAAAGTTATATTCAAAATTTTGCTATTCTAAATGGCAAAATTTCAGAAATAATTTATATAAACAATACAGTTACAAAATAACAAAACAAGACTGCAGCTGCAGCTGCGTGTCTGGTACATTGCTGGTTAAAACATTCACTTTTTTCGGTGGCTATTGGTTCCAATCCTCTGTAGATTATCCTGGTGCTCAGCTCAGACCTGGAAGTTTGTTTTTCTCTCTGAAACAGTTTGATAAAACTGCAGCTGGGAGTCGCTGAGCCTCCAGGCTCCCAGCTGACGGGACTCTGCTCCGGCTCTCTTTCCCCCTCGGGATGATGAGCGTTTCCAGAGGAATGCTGCCGCCGTTAGGCTCCGCCCCCTTCGGGAAGCGCCATGACTCCTCTCTCTGGCTCTGCAGGTGTCTGGTGTGGTGATGATCGGTGTTGGATTCTCGTCAATTGAAGGAAACGTACCCGTTGCCCAGGTAACCACGCTGACACTTAAACATAACCTCACATTTTACGGCTTTTTCCTGCAATATTTGTGAATTTTATTGACTATTTTATGTAAATGAAAGAATGAAGTTTAAGCTTTTGACTTTCATCTGTGTGTTTTGAAAACATTAGAGCTAAAATTTGTTTATTTTAATGTTTTTCTGGACAAAATTGGAAGAAAAATGACTTGCTAATCTGAAAGATTAAGATATCCAGTGTTTTGTTTTTACTTGTTGTTTAGCCCTGCTTCTTTTTTCCTTTCACTAAACTTTCCATTAATATGCTTTAATACATCCAATTTCTGTGACTTACTCTTCATTTGGAGTCTCTGGACAGGTAATTGGGGCCATGATTGAACATTTCTGTTTTCAAAATGATTTTTATTTGTTTTACGTAACATCCTAATTTTCTAAGTTTTATATTTTTAACATTCTTAAGCCAAAATCATCAAAGTTACTGAGATAACATTTTCAGTTTGGTTAAATAAATCTCTCGTATGAAGCTGACATTACCTGTATAGTGAATTCTGCCAGTGATTGTTTTTCTTTTTAAATCTGTTTCAGTTGTTCGCGCAGTTATCGATTAGCGACGGTTTATTGGCTCTGCAGGTGTTCGGTCCGATCACGGTGGTTCTGTCTGTTCTGGGCATCAGTGCTGCGGTTTCAAACTACAAACCTTTGCTGCTGCTGGTAACTTAAAATATATAGTTTTATTTTATTATTTTGAACATCCAGATTGTTTGGGTTATTTTAAAATATGTTTATTTAAAATATTGATCTCCAGTGATTTGATTAGATCTGACTTTAATTATATTTTCTTAACATTTCTTTCATCAGAACCGGTAAATAATAGTTTTAATGTAATAATCTGATGTTCTGCAGTTTTCTGCTCTGATTTTTGTGGAGTTCGTGGCTCTGATGATCGTCGCCTCTCCGTTGGTTCACGTTGAAGCCGAGGTATCGCCTTTTCTGAGTCACTGCTGCCCCCTGCAGGGCTGCAGAGTTCATTACAGTAATTTCATTTAAAATTGCATTTTAACGAAATAATCTTTAATATTCACCATGTGTTCTTGTTTAGCAGATTGTTAATCTGGCTTTGAGGTTCCTCTCTTTGACTGGGTTTTGTTGGTTCTGGTTCTGCAGGTGAACATCGCTGTGGAGGACGTTTTCCTGAACGTCACTCCTCTTCACACAGCTGAGCACTTCATCCAGACGGAGCTGAAGAAACTCCAGAACTCAGTGAGCCGCAATATTAACCAGGGATTCAGGCTTCAGTGTTTCAGTTCACTTTCCTTTTTAAAGTTAATTTTTATTCTTTAATGACATTTTTTATTTTAATCTAATTAATTTACTTATTTTTCATTATTATAATTTTAAAATGCATTATATTTTTAGCCAGTTACTCTTCCGCTTTAAATTTTAATTTTTAAAAAACTATTTTTAATTATTTTGTAACTTACAAAAAATATTTTTTATTTTTTCCAAGTTCACGCTTCGTTTTAAGTTTTTGTATTTTTATTTAATTTACGTTTTATTTTTAAAACAATTTTTTACTTATTTTTGAAATTCAAAAAAATATTTGGAGGCTATTTGAATAGCCTTCCTGTTGCAGCTTGTTTTTTTTTTTCTAATACTGATTACCAGTAAAAATAAATTTCTCTGCGGTGAATGTTTGTTTCCTAGGATTCCTGCTGCGGTTTAAGAAGTTTTGAGGATTGGGGGAATCACCTCCCTGACTCCTGCTCATGCACGCCCCCTGCTGGCCTGAGGTTAGTTCAGCGCAGTTTATGGCATTTTATGCATAAACTGCCATATAGATTATAAATGGCTTATAATATAAAAAATATTATCAATTTTTTTCTTTTGCCCACATAGTTTTAATACTTTTGCCGACTGAAGTTGAAAAATGCATTTTTAATTGGAACCAATCATGCTGAAGGAACACAAACTCCTTTAATTATTTTAACAGAAAAACAAAAGGAAAAACCTCCCAGCAAACTTGACCAGGTATTTATGATATTTGCATAAAAACTGAAAGTCTTATGACAGAATAAATAAATTAAAACTTTTAGTTATCAGGTTATGAACAGGATCTATTCAACTGGTCCATCACATGTGAGCTAACTGCTGCCCCCTGCAGGCTGAATAAAGCATTTACTGCAGAACCGGGAAGGTTCCTCTCAAGACAATTAAACTAAGGAAAAAATAACTACAATAATATTTAGACAATAAAGTCGAACGAGAATAAAGTGAAACACTAACAGGATAAAATCTGAATATTTTCAGAAGAATAAAGTTGGAATTTTACCAGATTAAAGTCATAACATTACGACATCTCGTGGGATCACTTTATTCTTATGAATATACATTTTATTTTCTTATCGCGGTCCTGACCTGTTTCCTCTGTGTTCCTCAGCTCTCAGACCAGTAACTCCAGCTCACTGGGATCCTGTGTGATGACTGGAAAAAGTCGTCATCCTTCAGATAAACTCTGGGTTCACGCTGAGGTATCGCCGCTTCTCTCACAGACTGGTGATGTTCTGTCTCTCCGTCCCTCTGAACCAGTTTTGTTCTGATCCGTCTGTCGCTCAGGCCTGTGGTCCCATCCTGAAGAGCTACCTGGGATTCCCGATCAAACTCCGGATTGGAATAATCTCTGCCTTGGCCACCATCGCGGTAAACCAGAAGCTTCTTCTTGTTATTGTTTTCACTGTTTTATGGAGCGAAAACACTGAAAATATTACACTCAGAATGTCACAACGTGTAAATGGATTCTGTCTGATGGTCTCGTACATTTAAATAAATATCTACTTTTGGAAATTTGTTTTTACAATAAGAGGATGGGAAATTATTTAAAAATGACAACAGCTCTAAAACCACATTTCTGGTCCTTTACTGTCATTTTTGTGGAAATTCAATGCAAACATTTCTGGAAAAAATGAAAAACTGTCAAAAATTTGCATTTATATTTTAAAACATGAGCTGGTTATTTTTAATGTTGTGTATGTTTGTAAATTTAGCTCTATTTTAGGACGTGAAATGAAGATAAACCTACAATTTTTCGAAAACAGGATATTTTTTTTCTTTGAGGGATAGAAAATTATGTTGTGTAAAAAAAGCACATATATCTGAGCATAATGAGAAGGAAACCAGATGTGAAAGCATATTTCTGGTTCTTTTGCTGTCATTTTTTGTGAAAATTTAATGCAAACATTTCTGGAAAAAAGAGAAAAATTGTAAAAAAAAAAAAAAAAAAAAACTGATGAAAATGTTGCATATTTCTAAAAATATTTACATTATTATGTTTCATGGGCCGTTTCTTGAGGTTCCCACTTGTGTGTTGGACATGTCCCAATGCAGTGTGTGTGTGTGTGTGTGTGTGTGTGTGTGTGTGTGTGTGTGTGTGTTGCAGATAACCGCCATCGTTCTGTGCCTGGTTCTGGGTCTGGAGGATCGCTTAAAGAAGCCTCCGGTTGAGATAACGATCGACGACTTCAACAGAGTCAAATATCAACCCAAACCTTCCCTCTCCTGACCTCTGACCCCTCAGCCACACAGAACGGACACTGATGCTAACATGTAGCCTTTAAGTGGAGCTAGCGAGAACAACACAGGAAGTGCTGTGAGGTTATAAACCAGAAACGGGTATCATTCATTTGGACTTTCTTAGTTTCCACCATCATGGCTTTTCATTTTAGTTTTTCACAGATTTATTTGTTTAAACACAACTGAGAGCACAGGTTTGAATTCCCAGCGTATTTTCTCTGTAATGCAGATTCACTCTCCCACTAAGGTAAAGTCTCTCTGATGGTCCAGTGGATTCGGTTCGATTTGGGACCAAAGTTGCAACATTTGTTATGTTTTCAGCTGCTGAGTTCCTCTTTACAAACCAACCAAACCTTTAGAAAAACCTGTTCCCCTCCTGGCCTGTGGGGGCGCTGCACCAAGAACCACTGAAGGAAACGACATGAAATCCTCTGAGCACAACTTCCTTCTTCACAAAATGAAAACAAACATGGAGTAGCGTCAGATTTTAGCGGTTGTAGGATTTTTCTTTAGTCTTTTACAAAAGACTACGAGACATTTTTCTCGCTAGCGCTAAACTAGCATGTCTGTTTTGATGTATTTACCCAGAATTCCCTGCGCTGCAGTCCACTTCCTGCTTTTGGAGCGGTCTCCGGTCCGCTTGACGTCACATTTGCACCAGAGTTCACTTTTTTGTTCAATTTCACATTCACTTCTCTGAAACAAACCAAACTTTGTGGGGTTTTTGATTTCTCTTCTTCTTGGAAGAACTGGAAGAGTTCATTCAAATAATTTGGTTTCCAGATATTTGGGTACCAAAATTCATAAAAGTATGAACATTTAGGAATAGTTCACGCACTTCTGATAACTCCACTGCAAAACCACCAAATGTTACCAAGGTTTTGTCTATTTTTTTTGTGGCCAAATTAAAATTAAAAGCCCAAATTGATAACTGCATTTATGAAAACATGAACTTCTAATTAGAACAATTTGCACATAATTTTGCACATTTTCTTTAATGACACAAATTTCTGCTGTTTTTTGTTGTTGTTGTGTTCTTGGGAAATCTTGTCCTACAGAGGCTGAAGAGACCCTGGTGCTGGATCAGGACTCCTGTTCTTTATTTTATAAATGGGATCCAGTGTTGAAAAACTGCTTAACCTTAAAGTGTTTCTATGTTTGCAGAATATGATTTAAAATTTAATATATAGAAAAATGCTGTCTTCCTGTCTGAAGTGTGCTTTGTAAATAAAATGAGTTTACTTTAAAGTTAAATCAGTGTTTTGTCTGCAGTTACATCTAAATGCCACAAGGTGGCAGAAGCAACTGATGGGAATTTTTCAAATCTGAACCTTTTCTCTTAATTTTAATGATTAAATTCAAAAGAAACGACACATATATAAAATTATATTTACAGTAATAATTAACTCTTAACCTTCAGTCAGTTTTGATTGAATGAAGGGAGAAAAACTAAGTTGCATCAATCCGAACGCACGTTTTACGTTCAGGAAACAAAAACATTGAAACACGTTAAATATTTGGTCAATGTTCCATTAATTAAAGCAACTCTGAACAGGTTGGTGTTTGTTTACCACGTATTTCTTACGCTTGCTTCTCGGAGCACCTGGGGTTTGCAGCTGAGTGGAGTCACATGCAGGGTAATCTGGGGTTAACCACATCACTCTGCATCAAATGCTCTGATTCTGGAGTTCTCTAGAGCTACATCAAACTATACAGAATATTACAATGACAAACTGAACTTTTCTTGTTTTAGGACAGTCAGGATTACCAAGATGTTTTCTAAATGCCAGAATAATGAGAGACTATTCACTTAAATTACTCATCTGGGAAACAAAGATGATGAGCTTGGTAAGCATCTGACAGGAAGTGACACATTAAGACAAAGAAGCTTTAGACTCCAGCTGAACCTTAAAACCTACGCTAGCTCATTTGAGTAACAGATTGTTAAACTGGACCATGAAGGGCAGTGAAACTGACACCCTGAACCCCCTGACTGTTCACACGGACAGGGAAGATGAAACGTACCGACCAGCTGCATGTTGTTAATGTTATAACTGGACCTAAACACACCAGATTCCACAGCACATCTAAAAGTCATAGTCAAGCTAGCATAGCTGACCAAATTTCCTCTTCTGACCCATTTTAGACTTTTAATTAAAACATTTTTCTGACTTTATCTAACCTTTTTTAAGTTTTCTCCTGCTTTCGTGGCCTTTGTTTATTGGTTGTCAGACAGGAAGTGGGTAATCAGAGGGGGCAAAGGTCAACAGACTGGGACTGAAACCTGCGACTAAGGCCTCTGTATATGAGACGCAGACGGTTATATTTCTGAAATCGAAACGCTCATTAGTGTAAAACCTTTATCCATGAAGCTGATTATGTCCATTTCTCTCATGTTTGTGCCAATCTTCTCTACTTTTCTCTTCTTGGTGAAGTTTCCCTTTCAGCTGCCTCTAAATGGGGTCACTGGTTTTGTTACCAGCAGAAATAATCTGACATCAGCAGCCAGAAATGTTTTTGAGCCAGTCCAAAACCTGCCTGTTAGCAGGCAGGTTTTGGTTTTTCGTTGCTGGTGTGAAAACCACATTCAGACGTTAACATTTAACTTCGTCTTTAAACAGCCAAGCTCTGTTGTGGAAAAAAGTCAATGCTGATTTTGGTCTTTGCAGCTTTGTGTGAGTCTATTAATGTCTCCAATATTATTTTCCCGTTTTTGTGTATTATTGTTAAAAATATTTCTTTAATTCTGCTTGAAAAAGTCTTGAAGCGTGGAAATGAGGTCCTCAAATTAATGAGGTAATTCACTGTTGTTGTTTATGAAATGTGTTTATTTTGATACTTCCTCATGCAGATCATTGGTCGGTTTCACTGATTGGCTGCAGATTTGCTCTATATGTCGAAATGATTCATTTCACTGTTCAGATTCTCTGCAGACGGTTTTATTGACACTCACCTTCGTCTCTGCACAGTTCAGTTCCCTCTGTCTCTATGGTCTAGTCAAAGTAAGACAGAAAGCATGGAAAGAAATAACTGCTGTCTGAAGAACGTTTTTATGTTGTTCACTGTCGCTTTTGGGGTAAGTAGAATCCTTTAATTTCATTTAATTGATAATGTTGCTAACAATCTTCCTAAATAATTTTATATAATGTTCGTTAACAAGAAACACTTTGAAAATAATCAGAATTTTGCTTTTAATGAAAATGTTTACATGAAAATGGTTTTCATAGCAATACATACTAGAAAGGAGGCAGAAATAAAAATATCAAAAAAATATCCATTTGCAATTATTTTGATATCTTCTGATATTTGATATTTATGTTTCTTTTATGTTTTTTGATGCCTAAAAAACAGTGACAGTCCTGGCCTTTCCGTCTATTTGTGTAGTTATAATGATTTATTTATTTTAAACTGAGGAGTTACTGTCTATCCTTGATAAATATTCATAATTGTTCAACATCATCAGTTTTTCTGCACTAATCTGTCACTTTAATATTTACTGTAGTCTAAAGGAATCAGGAGGTTTTTCAATCACTTGTCATAAATGTTTTTGTGTCCAGCATCGTTCAGTCTGTGTCGCCCTCTAGTGTTTAATGCAGAAATTACAAATGTGACAACAAGCAGAAAAAATTACCATTTTTAAATTAGCGTATTTAAAAATGTGATTTATGTGGATCAAATGTGACTCACCAAGTTAAAATATTACATTATGAAATATTTAATTACATGTAACACATGATTTTTTTTTTATTTTCACAATTATAATTTTGGAAATGTGATATATATATATATATATATATATATATATATATATATATATATATATATATATATATATATATAAAATTTTTATTTATTTTTTTTTTTTATATATACATATACTTTTTTCCCCCTTGTTTTTGTTGACTAAATCTATGTATAACTTCTTTAGGTTTCTGGGATTCTGTTTATCTGCCTGTTATGCAACACTGGAACTGAGAAAGTGGTAAAACACGACAAGCTTTACTGTTAAATCTTCATATTTAAAGTTCTATCAGTTTCTGTTTCAGAAGAATATTTATTATCTGGGGAGATAATTAATATTTTCAGATGGGATCCTGTGAGTATTTGTGTTTAATATATAACCTGCTGTCTGTAAATCTTTGTATCATATTTTTATACATTTGTTTGTGACAAAGCCTTCAGAAAAATTAATTTAAATTGTGTCTCTTCAGACTCACGTTAGTCCAGTCTTTCTCAAACTGTGGTCTGCAGACTTTAATATTGCAGAAGAGGATATTTTGTTTCTGTCAAAGCAACTCGAGTCTATTTTTTACTTTAATTGTGCTTCTAAATTATCAATAACCCTAAAATGTTATTAATGCAAACACTTGTAGCAAATTCTTTTGTACTCCATGTGTTTGACGTCAAATAAGTCAGAATGCCCCAAGTGGAATTGTTCATGACAATAAGTGAGTTAAGAGACTAATAGTTTTATTTCAGGTTGTGTATATTGAGAGCTTGTGTTATTTTGGGGCAATTTAAATTTAAATTAGTGTTTGTGAAATGGGTTAAGTGGTCGTTGGAGAAACTCAGCTTTAGTCCAGTGATTTAAAGTTTCTCTGATGAACTAAAATCCAATAGTTTTTGGTCCAGTTAAACTTTTACTTTGAATGGAGGTCAATAATGCCAAGAACAACTGATGGTAAGACGCTGACTTCTAATCTGGCACCACATAACCTGGCTTCAGAATTAGATGGATGGATGTCGATCAATCATGTAACAATCAGTTTCAGCTGTAAGTTTTGTGTTTCTGCTCTCATTAATCAGATACAAGAACTGGACGCCCCAAGGAGGCTGAGGCTCTGGGTGTTTGCCATCATGCTTCTTGTTATCTCCATTTCTGGCAGATGGGCAACATGCACCGAGAGTAAATGCTGCCTCAAAGCTGTATGTACCACAGTTCAAGTATTTCATTCAAATCAATAATAAATTAAAAATTAAGTTGATTATCAATTATTTACACTGTTTTCTGTGCAGTTTGCAGTGATCAATGGGATCGGAATGGTCGTCATGATCATCTTTGGGATTCATGTTGCTGTTTTTAAAAGCCAGGTAATTTACTGTAAGCTTTGTTTGGTGCAGAAAATTTAAAGTTATTATGGCGGATGAGTGAGGGGAGCAGGCACTGAGCGGAAACAAGAAGTTTAATAAAAAGACAATAAAACACATTAAAATATTACATAAAAAAGAGTTTGAATTTAAAAATCTAAACAAGATATGAAACCAATAAGCAGTCTCCCACGATTCCAGCTAAGGAATCTGCAGTGACTAAACATAAAATTTATTTTTCTTTTCTGCTTTTCCTGATTTATGTTTGTATGAATTTTCTTTTCACACAGAGAAAATTGTCCAAAATAATTTGATCCTTTTAGGTCATGGAAAGAGGTCAAAGTTCTG